GATCCAAAACTAAAAGTTAAAACTTTATAAATACTACTTATACACATTTTAAAAATAAAGAAATTAAATAAAAATGACAAATGCATACAACAAAATTAAGCTAAAAACAATTCACAATATTAAAGAACAAAAGGTATAAGAGTATAATAATGATTCTAACATAACACTAAGCCAAACACCAAAAAAACAACTACATTAAAATCATTGAAATCATTAAAGATTCATTAAAGATCGTATCTTTGGTATGACACAGAGGTGGTTTGTTTCTCTAAATTAATTTCACTTAAGTTATTTTAACTTGTTAACGTGTTCTTAAGTCTTAGGCCTACTAAATTAAGCTGTTCTGAGACGATTGTGGACAAATAGGCCTATGTCCATATCCGATTGTGGACACCGTTCATAATTATCTATGTTATTAATCTAAAGTACAAAACCAGGTAAAAAGCATGCAAAACATAATGCAGAACAGAAAATATCTAGAAAATAATTCGTTTTAAATGATATATTTAAAACAATGTTATGGGAGAATGTGTGATAGGCCTAGTTTACTGTAGTTAAGCAAAGAAAAGGGAAACAGAAAAGAAAAAATTACTTGTATCTGAAGCTCCTCTGATTCCTTAAGAGAAAGTCCCTTGCGCGGTCTAATTTTACATTTAGAATTTTTAAAAATCGTAGCTTCACCAGAATGGTACGAAACTTGGTGACTTTTATGGCACTTGGTATGTGAACACAAAAAAAAATTGAGGGCATGATTCGAAAAAGCTAAGTGGTACTATTCTATAAAAAAAAATTGTCACTCTCATGGTCTTCGGTCAAAAATGACCGACCATAGGAAATGAATGGGAAATGGGGGGGAAAAATCGAAAATACAGAACATTTTTGTGTGTACAATCTACAAATCCCCCACAATGCAGAAGAAAATTGCACAGCAATGAAGGAGTGAAACTCTAAAACATCTAGAGTGCAAAATCAACACACCAACTCACACACACGCGGACACACACTTGTACACACACACACACACCTATGAACTGGTGTAACTGTAACACTGCAACTATGTAAAATAAAATCAGTAATTCAACTACAATACAGTACAGTAATACAATACAGTAAAAAAGTGGACAGCAAGGAAGGGGTTACACTCTAAAACATCAAGAGTGTAAAACAGATACATCCACACACACACACTTACTTACACACACTCACAGACACACACACAGACACACACACACACACACACAATTACACACTCAAATGAATTGGTATGGCTATAACATATAGCCAAAATGAGTCAGAAGACTGAAATAAGAGGTTAAAATCAGATCAGACCCAGAAGGATTAAGCTCTGATAAAGCATTCCTGTTAATTTTTGTTACATTTTTATAGAATTTTAATGTTTTGTGTAACAAAATGCTTTCTGTGATCAGGTTTGAATGTAGTAATAATAATGCAAAAACCTACACTTCAAATCAACATTTCATATTATTTATACAAAAAATATAAACCTTGACAGAAAGTAGTCTTTGAGAATGCCTTAATATACATTTAAATCCACAACCTAATAAAAGTAAACAATTATGTATAAAAACAATAGGGAATTCACAAGCCTCTCTATAGAGTCCTATTACAGGTATCTATCTAGTGCAGTGGTTCTCAACCTTTTTTTCCACCGGGCCGCACTATGGTCCAAGTGCAAGTCTCG